AAGAGACCTCGCTCTAACTGGGCAAGGCCTCCTTCTTAGGATTGCCGAGGGACAGTTGGGTGGCCTCGGGCATCGCGACGTCTTGGCTGAATACCGCAGGGAGGGAGGAACACACCTTCTTGGATTCCTTGGTGTCCTTACACAAAACTGGCTTGGCAACCCACTGGCCCGTGTCAGCCCGCCCACTCCCAGCCCCACACTCCCCAGTGGCCAGTAAGGATGGCAGGGGAGGCAGGTTGGCTCAGAAGCTGCCCGCGATGGCTTTGCAAGGGACAGAAGGGGAAAGGGCTACCAGTGGCCAAAGGGGCCGGACGTCTGCCATCCAGGAAGCCATCCCTTTCCTCCCCAGGAGATGCTACGGACCTTTCCCAGCCGGTCTCGGCAGCACTGCTTGAACCCCCATGTGGGCTGCGGGCTCTGAGGAAAGACGGCTTCCTCCCTCCGCTGGTTCTTCGCGGACGTCTGAAACGCTCTCGGGCCTGGATCCCACCCCCTCACCTGATGACGTCAATGTGCCCGTTCTTGGCAGCCAGGTGCAACGGGCTGGTCCCGTTGGGGTCAGTGATGTCCCCCGGCTTGGGCTCCAACAGGGCTGCACACATGTTGCTGTTCAAAAGCAGCTGCACTACCTGCCATGCCAGGAGACAGAGGGAGACCCCAAAGTACTTCCTCCTGAACGAGAACCAGACCTCTTCCCCATCCCCAGACAACAGCCAAAGTTCCCCAAAGCACCGCCCTCTCCCACCTCCCAGGATCGCCTAGTCCCCCACTTCTCGCCAGCCTAAGGGGCCCTCACAACGCCATTTAGTGCCCCTTCCGAAAAAGTCACATTCTGGGATCCGTCCTGCAGGAATCTCCGACGTTTCGAATTTACTCTCAAAAAATGGCACAATCCCCTTGGCTCAAAATCCTGGCCTGATGGCCACCAGCTGCAGGTCCACCTAGTCACTAACCAGGCGGCTCAACGCAGCAAAGGGACACTTTACGTCTCGCCTCCAAATTCCAAAGGAAAAAGCCAGAGAAGGTTGGAACAGCTCTAGTGAAGGGTGCGCGACTCTCTGGGGAGGGAAACAGTGGACCCCTCCGTGGAATGGGTAGCCCTGATACCTCTGCCCGAGAGTGTGTTCTGTAGGCATGAGTTGGGCCCTTAACTGGGTTTGTGGCTGGCCCTCCAGGGGCTTGCTCCCTTTCCCAATTCCCCCCGAGGACTGGACTTACCCCAACACGGCCAAACTCACAGGCCAAGTCCAGAGGTGTCTTGCCACAGTTGTCCAGGATGCAGGGGTTGGACTGGTGCTGAAGAAGCATTTCTGACTGGGTGGGGAGGAAGAGAGAGAGTGGGAAGCCCAGAGCCCCCGTTCTGGCACAGACACAACCCACCAAGTGCACCGGAAGCCCCACTTGAACACCACCTCCACCCCCCATCTCCACTTCCTCCAAAGAGCACCCATACCAAGGGGCACCCGCCCTGAGGCAAAATGGTGGGTACAACCTGGCAATCAAAGCCCCGCCTCCTTTTAATGTGTCACCCACAGGGCACACACGTAAAATGGGTGGGGTGTTTTTGGAGCCAATGACCACCACTACGGACACCCCTACCCGTACCCGATGTACCCCTGGAAGAGGGGGACTCTAATAGTATGTGGGAAAGACCTTGGGAGGCGGGGCGAAGGGAAGGGTCAGATAAGAGACAGCACAGTGAGCCGGGCAAGAGGCTCAGAAGGGACCCTCCCTAAGTTCTTGGGCTGTAAAGGAGACGGTGGGAGAATTCTACTTTCAGACTTGCAAGATTCTGTCAATGTAGCTTTACAATAAAGTAGAATTAGCTCATCTGGTCGTGTTTCCTGTCTGGTCTACCCCAGGAGGCCGACATCAATCTTGCAAGTCTCAAAGTATGATCCTTGTTTGTTTCCAAGGGCAGCCCTCTGCAGAACGCACCGCAGTAGTCCAGCTGGGTGGTGATCAGGACATGGGTTATGGACACCAGGTCATAACGGGTACCCCAGTCGGAGCTAGTCAAGGCCGTTCTGGCTGCGTCTCCCACCTGTTGCCTAAGCAGAGCCAAGCCCAGGAGGACCCCAAGACCCACACCTCCTCCTTCTGGGGCTGGGGAGAGGGGGAACCAATCCTGTCCCAAGGACCTATCAGGACTGATGTTAGATGTTATCAGACCTTTACCAGCCTCCAGCATCTCCATCCTGGTGGGATTTTATCTGGATTGTTTTGCCCCGTCCAGACCCTGACAGCCCCAGACAGGAGCGCAAGGCTTCCAGGCACCTCCAGCCCGGCCAGGGAGACCGACGCGCAACCGAACATCCGATCTCCTCTCCCTCCCCAAAGCAGCTGTTTGCATAAACACACCTTTCCTCAGGTCACGAAACCTCATGCAAGCATCCAGCCTCTGAAGGGATACAGGAGTTGTGATTTGGGCTGACAAAGCTGAACGAAGCTCCGTCTCTCGCTCTTGCGATGCTCCAGGATTGCTTCCCAAAGCAATTTTGTCTCTCTGCCTTCCACCTTTAAAGCAAGTCTCCTCTTCCCAGCATCCTCCTTCTCCCCACCACTTCTCCCCCTCCCAGTCAGACAGTGTAGGAGGAGAGCCGTGTCTCAGTAGCTAAAAATCAGGGGGACTGTGGGAGCACCTTTTCAGGCTATCACAGAAGCGCACGGCTTTAATAAAAGGGCTAGTCTGAAGAGCTGCACTGGGGCTCCTGTCTCTCTGCCTATGCTTACGAGTCCACAGACCGACCTTCTCTGGGGAAGACGCCCCTTGAGTCTGCTGGACCCACAACAGCTTGCCCGATGATACGCTTGTGTGCCTTCCAAGAGGGTTCTCCCAACCGGACGAGGTGCCCCTCTCCTGACGGTTGCTTCGCACCCCCTTACCACGTCGTAGTGTCCGTGCTGCGCTGCCAAGTGCAAAGGGATCTGCCCCTCATCAGACTGGATGTTCACAGAGGAGCCCGCCTTCAGCACCAGCTTCATGGGCTCCTTCTTCCCTTGCCAGGCCGCGTAATGCAAAGGGCGCATTCCTGCAGAAAGGGCACAAATGCAGGAATGGAGAGGGGGCGGCTCCTTCCACCATTCTTTTGGTCAAGAAGGGGGACTCAGATCCCTGTCTCTGAGAATGGGCAAGGACGGTTCGTATGAACCCTTGCCAGTTAAGAAATCAGGCATAGAAGCGTGCACGGCGTTGCATTTCCTGTGCTTTGGCTCCGATGAACCATTTGACACTGGTCTTCTTTCAAAAAGGAGCCAGCTCCTCCTTTCTTGGATAGGCCTGCAAGAGGACTGTACTCCCCACCCCAAACTGCGAACATACGTCGCAGGTGCTCTGGGCCCAGGGCCCCAGCTTTCCCTCCTTTCGCAAGCCCCGCCCCTGCCCAGGCTCGGCCCATGTGCCACCACCGCCAAGCCTCTGGCTTGCCTTTGTTGTCCTTGATGTCCACGGCAGCCTGGGCCTCCAGGAGCAGCAGAATGAGTTCGGTGTTGCCGTTGAGGGCGGCGTGATGCAAGGCGGAGAACCTGTCGCGCCAGGAGCAAAGCAGAGGGGTCACCAAGGCCAGCCACCAAGACCCCGTCCTTCCCCCGAATTCACCACTGCCTGAGGTGATCCTCTTCGAGGACAAGCTTCGGGTCGGCAAGCTGAACCAGGCGCCTCCAGGCTGCAGCTTCTCTGTCCTCGGAGAGGAGAACCTGCTCAGACCTTTGCAGGAAAATCCAACTCAGGAAGGTGTTTCTCATGAGCCCCTCCCAGCTCCTTCGTGAATCTTACTCCACCGGCAAATGACATTTTTTCTTTTTTTGGAGTACTTTCCTCTGTCTGATTAAAATACCTGATATCTTCTTTTTTTAGCCTGCTTCTATTTTAGCCTAGCTGGGTTTTTGATTTCTGGAACTGCTCTTTCGTATCAGCGTGACATGATTGCTTTATTCGTTTTTAATCTGCCGCTGCTTAATGTGCAGCTTAGCACAGAAGGATCCTGAAATGAAAACACAGATAAAAAATGTTCCCATCTCCAGAACTGGGAGGACAGTAACTTTGCTGATGTGTCATGAAGACTGCAGAGCGTGCTGGGAGGCCAAAGTGCAGGGAGAAGGATGAGTGACCCAGTGCAGCACAGCAGAGCTACACGACGGAGAAGCCTTGCTGAAGGCGAGTCAACATGGCTTCGGCGAAAGGAAGACCCATCTTGCTAATCTTCTCGGGCCCTTTGCCTAACCCTAACACTCCCTCCCCCTCTGAAGATGGGCTTGAGGGGGTTGTGACTTCACACAGTAGAAGAGTGCTTCTCAACCTTGGCAACTTGAAGATGGGTGGACTTCAACTCCCAGCATGCTGGCTGGGGAATTCTGGGAGTTGAAGTCCACCAATCTTAAAGTTGCCAAGGCTGAGACACACTGCTGTAGAAGATGCATAATGAAAATATGGTTCAGCTGCTGCTGGGAACAAGACTAATTTCATGGCTGGGATCATTAGGAAAGGAACAGAGAAGGTGCTCGCCAAGTCTGGCACAGCAGACCCTGACGCATCGCAGTTGATTCAGCTCGCAAGCCTTTGCAAATACAGCAGACACCCCAAATCCAGTCTGCAAACTGCTTTCTGGAGTTTGCGGGATGCCAGAAACATGGCGGGGAGTCAGCCTCCTGATCGCAAAGCAAGGCCAGCAGAAGTGCACGCTCCTCCAAATACAGAAGCACACTGGGGACTGGGGACCCGTCCCTGCAACTACAGAGTGCTGGAGTTTGGGGCCACTTGCAACACACCAGCTCTGGATTGTAAGTGTCGCATTGAACACTGGGAGAGTGGCCATGTGGTGCCAACCTGGGGTAGCCTCCATTTCTAATAGGACCCCCAGCTATGGACTCTGCTGCCTGAAGTGGCTTCTTTGCGGTAAGGATGGCCAGAAGGGTGTTCACGAGACGCTCAATCCAATCCCTCAAAGCAGTTTGCAATCACACAATGTGCTAAGATTAGCTTTAACCTTATTCTGTACTTTAACATATTGTGCAAACCTGGCTTTTTTTCTAGATTCATGATTCAGAATGCAGAATACTATTTTAGCAACCAAGTTAAGCCTGCTGTGGGAACCCAGCCAAAGAGCTGCAGAGGGGGTGAAGGAGTCCACCAAAGGAGCTCCCTTTGAAAAGGGACAGGCCTCTGCATTTCCTAACAGGGGGAACATTAGCTCGCTCTTGGAGAAGCTAACCACCATTTAATAGCAGGGAAGCAATAAATATGCAACACCCAGAACTATCAGCAAGTGGCCTTGATTATCTGATGGAAAGAAAAGTGGGCTATAAATCCAATTAATAAATAGTCAGAAAGCCATCAGGAACCAAACAGCCAGCCAAAAATGGAATCTGCAAAGGAAATTGGATTATAATTATAATCTGGAAAAAGGATCTGTTTGCCCCATGGTTGCCTGTGTTACATCCACCCCATCCAGACAGGGCCCCAGCCATTAGCTACTTGGCAAAGCAAGGAAGTCAGATCAAATTTAGTTTTCTTCTGGTGGATAACACTCTTGCTTCTATGCATTTATTATTTATTGCTCCTGCTTTAATTGCTTCATCTGGTTTTCAGGGGTGCCTGCTGGGTGCGGTCCCAGAGGTGGAGAAGGCAGCCACAACCCCCCCCCCCCCAA